CACAACACACCAGACACAAACACAACACACACCAGACACAACACCACAGACACAACAACAACACAACTCACACACACCAGACACAACACACACACACCAGACACAACACACCAGACACAACAACAACACAACTCACACACACACCAGACACAACAACAACACACACACACACCAGACACAACACACACACACACCAGACACAACACACACACACCAGACACAAACACAACACATACACCAGACACAACACACACACACACCAGACACAACACACACACACCAGACACAACACACACACCAGACACAACAACAACACAACTCACACACACACCAGACACAACACACACCAGACACAACACACACACCAGACACAACACACACACCAGACACAACACAACACACACACCAGACACAACACACACACACCAGACACAACACACCAGACACAACAACAACACAACTCACACACACACCAGACACAACAACAACACACACACACCAGACACAAACACAACACACACCAGACACAACACAACAGACACAACAACAACACAACTCACACACAGCAGACACAACACACACACCAGACACAACACAACTCACACACAGCAGACACAACAACACACACCAGACACAACACAACAGACACAACAACAACACACACACACACCAGACACAACACACACACACCAGACACAACACACACACACCAGACACAACACAACAGACACAACAACAACACAACTCACACACAGCAGACACAACAACACACACACCATACACAACACAACAGACACAACAACAACAACGCGCACACACCAGACACAACAACAACAACAACACACACACACACCAGACACAACAACAACGACAACACACACACGCAACTGCACAACGCAAACATGAACTCTATCTGCGCCGATCGGCGTTCCCGCCTTCCCCGCGTCCTCCTGCCACGACATAAAAAGGTCCCAAACTCAACACAAACCTCCGCGTTTGAATCCCACCACGGAACGTACCCCGGGAGGTAACGACAACATCATCATCATCATCACCATCGTCATCTCTGTCTGCCATCATCTGGAAAAGAGCTCCTTCATCGCCAGAGTCATCGCCGAGAATCTTGGCGACCGCCCGGGGCCCCGCACTCTAGGGGGGTGGGGGATGGGTGGGTGTAGCGCTTCGACGTCACGGTGTTATCAGATTGAATGCTCCCCGTTCGGTTTTGAAGGCTTTGGGGAGTGTTGACGGTGGGGGTACCACACCCCCCCCCCAAACTCCACCCCCACCCCCACTCCACCTATGGACGGTGCTGTTCGTCACCACCCAGGGCGGATCCGTGGGGATAATTCACAATTATGCTCCGTCCCAATTCTACGCGACCGAATTTGAGCTCCACCACCACCACCACCATGCCGGTGCCTCCTTTTGGACGGGCGCTTGGCACCTTCAACCCGGGCCATCGTTCCTACCGCAAGGCGGGCTAGCCAGCTGTGACCGCTGTTTGTTCGCATCTCTCTACCCGTCTGTCTGTCTGTCTCTGCGTCGCTGGCGTCCGACGTTTCGCGCCCGGCGTGCTGGCAGATGATTTCAGCAGCCGACCTCAGTTGTGTCCGACAAGTTTCGCGCTTTGCGCAGGGCGTGTGGGCGGGCGAGTCTGTGGGTGGGTGGGTGGGCGGGCGAGTCTGTGGGTGGGTGGGTGGGCGGGCGAGTCTGTGGGTGGGTGGGTGGGCAGGCGAGTCTGTGGGTGGGTGAGTTAGTGGGTGGGTGAGCGGGTCTCTGGGTGGGTGAGTTAGTGGGTGGGTGAGTGAGTGGGTGATTGGTTTTGGCGAGTGCATGGGTGTTGGGTGGGTAAGTGGGTGGGTTGGTGAGTGGGTGAATGGATGAGCAGCTGAGCAGTTGAGTGGGTTGGTAGGTGAGTGGGTGATCGAGTGAGTGAGTGGATGAGTCAACGGGTGGATGTATGGGCGAATGGGTGAGCAGCTGATTGGGTGTGCGAGTTGGCAGGTGAGTGGGTGATCGAGCGGGTGGATGATGGGTCGGCGTTGGGTGCGTAGGCAGGTAGGTGGGCGTGTGGGGCAGCTGCAAGCACGTGGTAGCGAAACGTCGGACATCGCGCCAAACAACAGTGGCACAGCGCGAACACACGCGGGAGAGCCACGCAGCATCGCAGCCGCGATCACCTTTCACAGTCATGACGTCACTCAATTACGTCACAACCATTGTTATACGGGCCATTATTTTTCGATCTAAAGCTTTCGTGACTGCAGGGTTTCACCTTCTTGGTTCTTTCGGTAAAGTCACCACGTAGAATAGAAATAAAATAATACGAATAAAACATAATCAAGTAAAAAAAAATGATCGTGACGTTTCAGCCACAACACAAGTAGCCTTCTTCAGGTGAAGGAACAGAACTGTCGGGACGACAGCGCTCCAATGAACACTGCTAAGCCTCGCAGCGTCTTTTAAGCTGGGTGGGAGGAGCAAAGCGCCTTGACAAAGGAGTTTACATATCATGTGCAAACTCCTTTGTAAACTCCTATGTGTAAACTCCACATCATATGTGAACTCCTTTGTCAAGGCGCCCTGCTCCTCCCACCCAGCTTAAAAGACGCTGCGAGGCCCAGCAGCGTTCACTGGAGCGCTGTCTTTCCCTACAGTTCTGTTCCTTCACCTGAAGAAGGCTACTTGTGTTGTGGCCGAAACGTCGCGAGAATTTTATTTTATCATGCTTTATTCGTATTATTGTATTTCTATTCTACGCGGTGACTTTACCGAAAGAACAAAGGAAGAGGGCCATTATCGTTGACCCACCCATAACTCGGCATGTTGGTGGAAAGTTCGACCGAAGAGATGGAATGAGAGAGTCGATGTGGACGTCCACAAGCGGACGTGAGATCCTAAGTAGCCAACTATCTGCTTTTGAGCCAGTTGGTGGACGTTCCACATGTTTCATGGCAGGGACCCACAGGCATGTCCCTCGTGGCCATGATGAACGTGCTTCAACTGTGTTGGGTGAATAGCGCGTTCATATTCAGGTCCGGGGGTAAATGCACCCCATGGTAAACATCGTTATTATTTCCGTCATCGAGATCATCGTCATCAGCATTTTACCACCAATATCAGCGTCATCATCAGGATCATCAGCAGCATGTGCATCGCCATTTTGATCGTCGTCATCATCTTCATCATCAACATCGACGTCAAATGTCGTCATCATGATCATCAGCAGCATGATCGTCGTCATTATCGTCATCATCAACGTTGGCATCAGACGTCATAATCATCATGATCACCATCATCATTATGATCACCTTGATCATCATCATCATCGTCGTCATCATGATCATCAGCAGCATGTGCATCGCCATTTTGATCGTCGTCATCATCATAATCTTCGTCGACATTGGCATCAACCATCGTCATCATTATCATCAGCAGCATGACCATCGTCATTATCGTCATCATCAACGTTGGCATCAAACGTCATAATCATCATAATCACCTTGATCATCATCATCATCATCATCGTCGTCATCATTATCATCAGCAGCATGTGCATCGCCATTTTGATCGTCGTCATCATCTTCATCATCATCAACATCGACGTCAAACGTCATCGCCGTCATCACGATCAGCGTCACATCCGCCAACGTCACAGTCACCGCCGCCGCCATCAACAGCGATGCTGCTGCTCTGCTGGCTCCTCGTGCGCTCGCCTGTCTCGACCAACGCGCGTGCCACAGTGATCGCCGTGTGCTCGAGCCTCCGAGGACATCAACAGCCGCGCGACAGGAGGAGCACGAGAAGCAGCAGCGTACCGCTCTGGTAAAAGTCAACGGAGACAGTGGTCGTCCAATGGGCATTCAGGTCCCCGCCATGGTGCACGTGGAATGTCCACCGGCGCGCGTTGGCGTTGGCGCGCGTCGCGAGGCCTAGTACTGTCACAAGGTAATGGTCCACACGTTGCACGGCCACACCTGAGCGACTTCATAGGTCCGAGGCACGAGACGCCAAACAGAGATGAACGATAGAGAGAGGGGGGTTGGGGGGGGGGTTGGGGGGGGGGGAGCAAAGGCGCGGACCCTGCAATTGCCGGAATCACGCCACCGGCTAGGCTGGCGGATTGGGCCTTCCTTCGCGAGAGGTCGCCTCGACGGAGATTCGTCCGTGACCTGCTTGGCCTCACGCGACTACCCACACTTTGCCCCACGCACCATCACCAAACCACTCACCCACCACCACTCGACCTTACGATCACAACCTGCCAGGAAGAGGGGTGGGGTGGTGGTGGGGGGGGCGATGACTGCTGCTGTACGGTCTGGCCTAGGCCCCGACCCCCCCCCACCCCAGTGGCAGCTGTCCCTGGTGCTGTACAATGTCGCCGATGACCACCACACAGCCTGCCAGCGGGGGGCATTCGTCTGCCAGGTAGGGAGGTTCGGGTGACGATCGCTGCCGTGTGATCTGGCCTAGGGGACCCCTTCCCTTCAAGTGGCAGCTGCCTCTGTGCGGTGGCACAAGTTGATTGATTATAACCCGGGCCTGCGAGCGGTGGGCATTCGTCTGCCAGTAGGGGAGGGGGAGGGTGATGATCGCTGCCTCGTGTAATCCGAATCGAGTACATTTCCCGGAGTCATTAAACATTACAACATTTTGATTATTATTTTTTGGGCAAATTTGGACCCGTGCCAGCGAAATGTCCCCTGGTCCCAAGGCTTATGGCTCCGGTGTTGTGTGTTGTGTGTGTGTGTATAAAATATATCTAGCATATCCATTGAGTGTACATCTAGACAGAGTATACATCGAGAATACATCACGGGCCACACGTTGTTATTACTTCTGCTGCTGCTATGATCTACACCCTATACAGCGTAGCTGACACGAACTACACACATACATACACACACCGCGACAATCTACATACTTGTCTATCGGTACATCTAGCCGCGTGTCTGTCCGCCTGTCTCTCGCACTTGTCCCATCATCGTCTGTTTGCATTTTTTGGCAAGTCTGTATTGTCTGACTGTGTATGCCTTGTCTTGCAGTAAAATCTGTCTCTGTGTGTCTGCGTCTCTACTGGACATCTGTGAGAAAGAGCTTCATATATAATAGAATTCCTCCAGTGTGAATATTCTGATTCTGTCTGTCTCTGAATGTCTGTCTCCATGTCTGTCTGTGTGTATGTCTCTCTGTAAGTCTGTCTATATCTGTACTTCAGACCATGTATCTATATCTGTCCTCTATCTCTGTCTGCCTGTGTCTGTATCTTGCAGTCTCTCTGTCTGTATGTATGTCTGTGTCTCCTATTGTCTGTCTGTCTCTCTAATTGTCCGTGTAGTGGAAGACGCAACATTTTTCCGTGATCAGTGTTGGATATGTTTTCTCATCTTCTGCCTCTCATCACGATCAGCTTCCATTTTCAGGAAATAGTTCAGTTTCACATGGGGTAATGAGGTGTCGAGAAGAAGGGTTGAGGGGGTCTCATGGAGGACACGTAGAGGTCTCGTGGAGGACATCATGGAGATAAGATATCATGGAGGACATCATGGAGATAAGATCTCATGGAGGACATCGTGGAGATAAGATCTTATGGAGGACATCATGAAGATAAAATCACATGGAGGACATCGTGGAGATACGATCTAATTGAGGACATCATGGAGATAAGATCTCATGGAGAACATCATGAAGATAAGATCACATGGAGGACATCGTGGAGATAAGATCTCATGGAGGACATCGTGGAGATAAGATCTCATGGAGGACATCATGGAGATATGATCTCATGGAGGACATCATGAAGATAAGATCTCATGGAGGACATCATGAAGATAAGATCTCATGGAGGACATCATGGAAATAAGATCTCATGGAGGACATCGTGGAGATAAGATCTCATGGAGGACATCATGGAGATATGATCTCATGGAGGACATCATGAAGATAAGATCTCATGGAGGACATCATGAAGATAAGATCTCATGGAGGACATCATGGAGATAAGATCTCATGGAGGACATCGTGGAGATAAGATCACATGGAGGACATCGTGGAGATAAGATCTCATGGAGGACATCATGGAGATATGATCTCATGGAGGACATCATGAAGATAAGATCTTATGGAGGACATCGTGGAGATAAGACCTTATGGAGGACATCGTGGAGATAAGATCTCATGGAGGACATCATGGAGATAAGATCTCATGGAGGACATCATGGAGATAAGATCTTATGGAGGACATCATGGAGATACGATCTCATGGAGGACATCGTGGAGATAAGATCTCATGGAGGACATCGTGGAGATAAGATCACATGGAGGACATCGTGGAGATAAGATCTCATGGAGGACATCATGAAGATAAGACGTCATGGATGATATCGTGGAGATACGATCTCATGGAGGACATCATGGAGATAATAACTCATGGAGGACATCATGGGGAGGACAAGAGGTCTCATGGATACATTTCTAGGAGGAAATCGTGGAGAATTCTAATGAGGAGGTCTCATGGAGAAACATTGTGCACCATGGAGAGGTGCATGGAGGACATGACGCAGAAGATGTGATGTCATAAGTGTCATCATGGACAGAAAAAGATGATGTCATGGAGGAGATCATGGAGAGTTGCATGGAGGACATAATGGAGAAGATGTCATACAAGTCTTCATGGACAGGAAAAGATTATCCCATGGACGACATCATGGAGAGATCTAAAGGAGGACATGGAGAAGATGTGATGTCATACGGGTCATCATGGACAGGAAAAGATGACCCCACGGAGGACATCATGGAGAGATGCATTTCGGACGTCACGGAGAGGAGATGTCATACAGGTCATCATGGACAGGAAAATATGACGTCATGAAAGACATCATAGAGAGACACATGGAGTATATCATGGAGAAGATGTGATGTCATACGGGTCATCGTGGACTGGAAAAGATGATCCCACGGACAACATCATGGAGATATCTAAAGGAGGACATCATGGAGATAGAATCTCATGGAGGAATTCGCCCCCCCCCCCCCCCCACCCTCCCCCGTGCACGGGGGAAAAACATCGAGGGCTTCCATGAAAGACTCTGAAGGGAGGTCCAACGGACATAAGGTTGAGGGGGGTGGCGGTTGGGAGGGAAGGGTGACTGCAGGATCAGCAGCAAGGGGGGGGGGGGAGGATTTGTGTGAGACGGGTTTGCTAGGCGACGCCCATGACGTCGGCGCTCATCTCCACGTCTTTGCGGGGCAGCTTGAGGCCCAGCGAGGAGGTGCCCAGAGGGTCCATCTGGTGGCGGTAGCGCTCGCCACGATGCTGCACCAGGAAGGGCCCCCAGTCCGGCTGGGGCATGCACACCAGCTTGAGCCGCTGGTCACGCGAGGTGGAGGAGGAGGTGGAGGAGGTAGCGGAGGTGGAGCGAGGCGGGAGGAAGAAGGAGGTGGTGGTGGAGGAGATGGAGGAAGGGGAGGTGGTGGAGGAGGACGTGATGGAGGTGGTGGTGGAGGAGATGGAGGACGTGGTGGAGGAGCAAGGGGAGGACGTGGTGGAGGTGATGGTGGAGATGGAGGAAGAGAAGGTGGTGGAGGGGATGGAGGAGGATGAGGTAGTGGTGGAGGAGGAGAGGCAGGGGAAGTGGGGAGAGGGAGGGAGTAGAGGCATGGAGAGGGGAGAGGAAGGTGGGGGAGTGAGGAGATGGAGGAGGAGATGAGAATAGGGGGAGGGAGGATGAACAGAGAGAGAGAGCAGGAAGAGTTAAGTAGAGAGAAAGAGAGAGCTACAGAGAGAGAGAGAGAGAACTACCGGTGATCAATTCCTCTAACATGTAAAATCAATCGGCGCCATCACGACTTTTCCGGCGCCCTCCACATCAATTTCGATTGCCTCGCGCGCTCCCCCCCCCCCTCTCTCTCGCTCGCACTCGCTCGCGTCCATCGCGGGGTTCATTAAATTCATCGCGCCCGACACGGGGGCATTCATCACGGCTCCCGCTCGCTATCCCTCTCCGCTCTCCCGCTCGCTATCTCTCCGCTCTCCCGCTATCTCTCCGCTCTCCCGTCCGCGTTTGGTTGTCCGCGAGCGACGACACCGCATGCGTGTGCGTACCTACGCACGTTGAACTTCTTTCGCGCCGTACGTAGACCGACCGAGAGCGTGCGCATGTTGGCAGAAAACGGTGGCGCCTCCGCCCTCCGGGCCGATATTCGAACGATGGCGGCCTCCGACCAAAACGATGATGGGATTTTCGGTGGATTTTTGTTTAAATTTTGATACCCGTAATCTCTACAGCAGCCTCCAAGCCCGCCTCTACGATCGTCGTTATGAAGCGTGCTCGTTCGTTGTTCGTTCGTTGTAACGCTTCGAACCGGCCCCTTACCGGACTTCTTCCTGCGGTCTAAATAAATATTCAGATTCGCTGATTGCACTGAACGGGTGTCTCTCTCAGTCCTCCTCTCTCGGGGGGGATTCATGATGGCCGTGTCGTCAGAGACAGTCTCTGGATCTCTATGGGTCTCTCTCTCTTCCTTCTCATATTAGGAAGCCACTTTTAAAAATCTGGATTGAAAACTAATTTCTTTGGAACTGCTTTTTGTGTTTAGTTTGTTGTCCTTTAACATACACACATACAGGCAAGCACCGCCGAGAAAATGTGATCAAATCCTCGGTTTGTATGTGCGTGTGTATATGTGTGTGTATGTGTGGGGAGCGGTAGTGTAGATATTAGCGCGCTGCACTACGAACCCCAGCGACCCGGGTTCGATTCCCGCTCACAGCCAACAGCAGTGGCGATTATCAGAACCGGTCCTGGGCATCCTCCCCTAGGTCGACTCAGGCTGAGTCGACGCAGGGGAAACAAAGGCGGCCGGGCGTCGTGCTGGCCACCCACCTTCTCGTGTGCCATGCCGGCTTTCTTCATAAGTGCTACTCGTTAACAACACTTGCCCCAACAGTCTGTTATGGCAACACAGGGGGGCACTACTCTACACTACACCACTATACACTACATTATACACTACACCATACACTACATTACACACTACACCATACACTACACCGTACACTACACTGTACACTACACTATACACTACACTATACACTACTATATACCATACACTACTATACACTACAATACACACTGCACTACACCACACACCACTACTATACACTACACTACTGTACACTACATTACTATATACTACACTATACACTACACTAAGAACTACACTATAAACTACACTACTGTACACTACATTACTATATACTACACTATACACTACACTAAGAACTACACTATACACTACACTATGCACTACACTATACACTACACTATACACTACACTAAACACTACACTACACCAGTGGTTGCCAACCGGGGGTATGTAAACCCCTGGGGGTTACGTTCATAGTTCATTTATGTTGGTATAGCCCTGTGAGCCATTCGGCTCTTGAATCGGGTGCAACCGCAACAAACAAAAAACATGAACAAGAAAACATCTTAAAGTGACTATGTGTGACTGTGCAAACAGAAAATACAGGAAAAAAATATCAAAATATTCCCGAAATAGCACCGTACACCAACGCTGTGTGCAAAAATCCCAGTGAGATGCAAGTCAAAATAACAACAACAACAACCACAAGACAACTAAGATTAAGGCCATCAGTCAACTCAGTACTACAATAAACAAAAACATGGCCAAAACAAAAAAAACTTTTCGAAATCACCAAAATAAAAGCCATAAATCCAATGTAACAGTGATCATATTGACTGTGACCGAATTTGTTTTACAATAAACTACATAAATTAATTATAACACCAAAATCTAGAGCCACACATCAGGTGATGCATAAACGCGTGAACTTATCTCGTACGTGAGACTCATTGGTGAATATTAATCGCGCAGTGAGCCTGCCCAACATAAAATAACTACGATACAATAAAGTAAACCCGTACGGTCAACCTAGAAGGACTTAAACGACCTTTCTGAACTCGTCGATCGTCAACAATGTTGGCCCTCCAAGAGTAAGCGGCGAACAAATGGCCTCGTAGTGTCCGTTGAGTGTTTTGTTGTTGTTGTTGTCGGTGTCACCCGCTCGCGGCGACTGCACGAGCTTAGTTGGGAACGGCCTCGCGGAATTTGACAATTTTGGGTTGAAAACACTGACGTCCGTTAAAGCCGCACGTTTCTCACTGAGAACGGGAAAATTCGACAAGGGGGGCAACACCATCTACCCCCCCCCCCCCCCAAGGTTGAGAAGTACTATCCTAGGTGATGGTGGTGGGGGGTCATAATGGCCGTGTCAGCGCCACTGATCCAGCACAGCTGAGGGACGCTGGGTTCAGGCCCTGGGGCTGGGGGAGTCGGGGGGGGGGGGGTGTAATTGTATTTTTGTGCAGTCATCGGTGACCGGGTCGAGACAACCCCGACTCGGCACAAACAGCGCGAGGCCTCACCCCCCCCCCCCCCCCCCAAAGATCCCCCGTATAGCCTTAACAGACTGTTGGGGCAATTGCCGTTAGTGAGTAGCAGTGCCTGGGTGGCCAACACCACGCCCGGCCGCCTTTGTCTCCCCAGTGGCGATGTTTACTACACACCGCACTGCGTACTCACTTGAGGCCGAGTCGAGCTAGGGGAGGCCCATGACCAGTTCAGATAATCGTCACTGGTGTTGGTCGCGAGCGGGAATCAAACTTGGGTCACATGCGTGTAGTTAACTGCGTGTAGCTAACAGCCGCAATCTACATTGCAACCCAGGTTTCTTTGCAGTGCTAGGTCTGTGGCTCTGACACGGCCATTATGAACCTCCTGAGAGTGAGAGAGAGAGGGGCACAAACCAATACCCAGGGATTGAACTCAGATTTCTCAGCAGTGCTGGCTCTGTTGGCACGACACGGCCATTTTGAAATCCCTAGGTGACGAGTGACGTCACAAACAGGAGGAGGACTTCGCCACAACTCTGGCTGTCGCCTGATGATGCTGGTTGTTGTAATTACCGGCGGAACGTTATGGTACTCGAATTGTAAACGTTGTAGTGGGTTCACTCTCCAACACACAACCGGTGTGGCGCTGAACCGGTAACGAATTGGCCACGTTTCATTTACGTGACAAACCCTTTACTAATTGGCGGTGTCGGGTGGTGGTGGGTTTAACGGCACACATTTATATTTATGAGATCTAACACCAAAAGAAAAAGGAGTCTTTATGTGAATCTCCGAGTCTGTACGTGACCTATGTGACCGGGCTGAGACCATCAATTCGCTGCACCCAAGAGACCGGTTTAACCACAAGCCGGGACACGGTGCCAAAGACGGCAATTCTTGGCATCCGGCGGTTCGAATTTGTCGAAAACGTCACCGTCGGCGTCTGCGACCACTCCCCTAGCGATCGAGGGAGACGGCTGCGGTGTCACCTTGTGGACCACGTCGCCCCCCCCCCCTCCCCACGCCCCCCCCCCCCCCCCACTGTCTTGATGCGCAAATTCCCACGTCAAAATATTGCGCCCTCACTTCGATCAGCGGTCGGACGTTCGGGCGCGAGAGACTGGAATGGAAAGCCAACCTACCCATCGTCATCGTCGTCATTGTCGTCATCGTCGTCCCTGTGATCCGTGGATCAAACACATCGCTCGAGACACGCCGGTGTGTACGGCGGCCAAGAGCAGCCGATGCCAACGCTGCCGCAAGAGGTCACACGTTTGGCGCAAGGGTCCTTCGCCGACTCTGCGTTAATGAATGGGTGGGTGGGGGGGGCGGTGCGGTTGGGGGGGTGGGGGCAACACGAATTCGAACCCAGCATCTCAAGTGGTGCCGGCTCAGCCCTCCGAACCCACTGGGTCGCCAGACCACCTCCGGAATCCGCCGTTGTTATCATCCCCATCGCACTTCCCAATGCCCCCCCCCCTCCGCCACCCGCCAGTGTTTCTCACCTCGATGAAGCTTCCCGGAGCGAGGTACATCTTGACGACGAACATGATGGGGATCCAGATGACTGAGCTGGCTACCATGAGCCAGCCCATGGCCATGGACCAGGGCGGGTAGTGGTAGGCCTCGTACGTCATGGGCGTCCACTGGTAGAAGCTGAATCCCAAGATGAACTGCGATGGGAGGAGGAGGAGGAGGTATGAAGCAGGTAGTAAGAGGAGGGAGGAGGAGACGTGAAGCAACAACGACAGAATCAGAATTTGTATTTAGACTGGATGAATCCGATGAGCTATGAAGCTCTTGTTTAAAACATGTCTAGTAGAGGGGCACGGGGTTGTCAGAGTGTTACGACTACAAACGACACGAAAACAACACGACGGGAGTGTAAAGTATAGGAAAGGTAAGCAAAGCACAAAAAAATACAAATGAAACTAAACAATGTTTTAGTTATTCTTAGCTCTTTCAGTAAAGTCACGTTGAAGGGAAACAATAAAATAATAATATATAAAACAATAAAAATTCTCACGACGTTTCGACCATAACACAAACGGTCATCATGATGACAAACGGTTATCATGATGACCGTTTGTGTTATGGTCGAAACGTCGTGAGAATTTTTATTGTTTTATATATATTTTATTGTTTCCCTTCAACCTGACTTTACTGAAAGAGCTAAGAATATGAATTACTGCAGTCACGAAAGCTTTAAATCAAAATGTTTTAGTTTACAAGGTAAAACCCCACTGAGCTAGTATCTTATTTTTCAGAAGCAACCTGGCCATCACAAATGATAGCTCAACGAAGTAACGTATCACCGTGTGGCAATTTATATCAGCCAAATGCTCGAAATAATCAATGATGATGACAAAAACAACAACAACAACAACGATAAACCGGGGCTCAGCAATTGGGAGGCTCAGCCAGAAGACAGAGCCAAACGTGAAAGAGTTTAGACGTAAGTTTAAACAAACGAACTCCAGGACCAATTCAAATGTCAGAGCCGAGTTCAAACTGAGAATAGAAGGCAGTGTTAGGCTTCCGGTAGGGTTAGTGTGAGGGCATAGGGTGAGGGGTTAGGGTTTACCGTGGAAGGTTACGGTGAGGAGTTAGGGTGAGTGTTTAGGGTGAGTGACTATGGTTATGTTTAGTGTTAGGGCTAGTATGGAAGCTACCACTAGGGCTTGTGTGAAGACTAGGTCCTGAGGCTCATGGTGAGGAGGGGAGGGTTAGGTTTAGTGTTTGTTTCTGTGTATAGTTCTCAAGTTCGTGTTCGGGCTTGTGCTCGGCCTAGTATTCAGGATAGTGTTAGGGCTCCTCTTTGGCCTAGTATTTAGGCTAGTGTTAGGGCTCGTGTTACGGCCTAGTATTCAGGCTAGTGTTAGGGCTCGTGTTATGGCCTAGTATTCGGGCTAGTGTTAGGGCTCGTGTTACGGCCTACTATTCAGGTTAGTGTTAGAGCCTAGTATTCAGGATAGTGTTAGGGCTCGTGTTCGGCCTAGTATTTGAGCTAGTGTTAGGGTCTAGTATTCAGGCTAGTGTTAGGGGCAAATTTAGTGCTGGGCCTCACGGTGAGGATGGTGGGTGTGAGGAAGGCCCAGCAGATCCTCCAGAAGTAGCTGGGCTGGAAGCCAATCATCATCTCAATGTCTTCACAGAACCTGTTGAGACCTGATGGGAACCAGAGACGACCATCATCATCAGCATCAGTAAAATCATCATCATCATTATCAGCAGCATCATCACCAGCATCACCACCATCACCGCCACCACCATCGTCACGACCATTACCGTAGATGTAGGAGATGCCGACGAGCTCAAAGATGGCGATGATGATGAGGGAGTACGAGGCAGCGTAGGTGTCCACCAGCTGTAGCATGTAGATACCTCCCTGCCAGCGGCACACGGGACACGGGGGAGAGGGGGTGCCACGTGGGGGGGGGGGGGGGGGGCACACAGGGGTGGTGATATTACATCAGCAGCTAAGCATCGATGGAGATTTCTTTGTCAAGAGGGCTGCACCAGTGGAGGACCATGAGAATCGAAGGATCATACGAACTAAATTAGTATAGAAGGAGACACCATTGGAAGACAATGAGAAGTTACGGATGATAGGAACTGTATTAGTATAGAGGGCGGCACCAGTGGAGTTTCATGAGAAGTGAAGGATCATGGGAACTGCATTAGTATGGAGGGCGGCACCAGGGGAGGTTCATGAGAGGTGAAGGATCATGGGAACTCTATTAGTATAGAGGTCGGCACCAGTGGAGGTTCATGAGAAGTGAAGGATCATGGGAGCTGTATTAGTAAAAAAGGGCAGCACCAGTGGAGGACAATGAGAAGTGAAGGATCATGGGAACTGTATTAGTATAGAGGGCGGCACCAGTGGAGGTTCATGAGAGGTGAAGGATCATGGGAACTCTATTAGTATAGAGGTCGGCACCAGTGGAGGTTCATGAGAAGTGAAGGATCATGGGAGCTGTATTAGTAAAAAAGGGCAGCACCAGTGGAGGACAATGAGAAGTGAAGGATCATGGGAACTGTATTAGTATAGAGGGCGGCACCAGTGGAGGTTCATGAGAAGTGAAGGATCATGGGAACTCTATTAGTATAGAGGTCGGCACCAGTGGAGGTTCATGAGAAGTGAAGGATCATGGGAACTGTATTAGTAAAAAGGGCGGCACCAGTGGAGGACAATGAGAAGTGAAGGATCATGGGAACTGTATTAATATAGAGGGCGGCACCAGTGGGGGATCATGGATCATGAGGAGGATCATTGGAACCTCTGTATGACTATGCGTATGTATGTATGTGTATAGGTGCCTCAAATGAGTACATGATGCGGTGTGTATACATTGCCGCTGGGAAGACAAATGTGGCTGGGCGTGGGGCTGGCTACCCACCCCATCGTCTGCCGCACTGGCGTTCATCGGCACTACTCGCTAAGAGCACTTGCCTCTTGACAGTCTACACGGTGGGGGGAGATCTCTGTCTTTGTACCTCGGTGAGCATGGGGAAGCCCAGGATGAACATGATGATGCACGCGCACATCGTGAACAGCGGCTTGTGCGCGCGCAGGTACTTGGGGAACTCGTCGGCCACGGACGTCACGATGGTCTCCAGGGTCGCGAACTGCGAACGCGCACACGCACACGCACGGTGGGCGTCAAACAAACACAGCCAAAGATCCCACCGCCTCCCCCAATAGAACCATGACAGACTCGACGGGCAATTGCCGCTGTAGCGAGAGCCTGTTGCGGTGGTCCCCGCACTTGAGTGGACAACGTTGGGCGTCCGTTCGAGCTGGTTCGACGGCGGTGCCCTGTCGCCGAGGTCGGTTTAATTTTTTTTCGGCACGTCGCGACGCAGTTGCTTTTGCGCCCATTTCTATTTGCTTCATGGCTGTTACGGGGACTCCGCTACTTGCGAACATTCGACTAAACTAACTTTCAGAGATGACAAACCCGTCCGTTATGTCCGGTTGCCCGTTCGGATCGAGAGTCGGGAGTTCAACTACTGCGCAATAGATGGCGGTGGTGGCATCTACATCTACAGAACGTGAAGAACCAGTGGCATCTACATCTGCAGAACGTGAAGAACCAGTGGCATCTACATCTGCAGAACGTGAAGAACCAGTGGCATCTACATCTACAGAACGCAAAGAACCAGTGGCATCTACATCTGCAGAATGTGAAGAACCAGTGGCATCTACATCTGCAGAACGTGAAGAACCAGTGGCATCTACATCTGCAGAACATGAAGAACCAGTGGCATCTACATCTGCAGAATGTGAAGAACCAGTGGCATCTACATCTGCAGAACGTGAAGAACCAGTGGCATCTACATCTACAGAACGTGAAGAACCAGTGGCATCTACATCTGCAGAACGTGAAGAACCAGTGGTATCTACATCTGCAGAACGTGAAGAAACAGTGGCATATACATCTGCAGAACGTGAAGAACCAGTGGCATCTACATCTACAGAACGTGAAGAAACAGTGGCATCTACATCTGCAGAACATGAAGAACCAGTGGCATCTACATCTGCAGAACGTGAAGAACCAGTGGCATCTACATCTGTAGAACGTGAAGAAACAGTGGCATATACATCTGCAGAACGTGAAGAACCAGTGGCATCTACATCTGCAGAACATGAAGAACCAGTGGCATCTACATCTGCAGAACATGAAGAACCAGTGGCATCTACATCTACAGAACATGAAGAAACAGTGGCATCTACATCTGCAGAACATGAAGAACCAGTGGCATCTACATCTGCAGAACATGAAGGACCAGTGGCATCTACATCTACAGAACATGAAGAAACAGTGGCATCTACATCTGCAGAACGTGAAGAATCAGTGGCATCTACACCTACAGAACATGAAGAACCAGTGGCATCTACATCTGCAGAACGTGAAGAACCAGTGGCATCTACACCTACAGAACATGAAGAAACAGTGGCATCTACATCTGCAGAACGTGAAGAACCAGTGATATCTACATCTGCAGAACGTGAAGAAGCAGTGGCATCTACATCTACAGAACATGAAGAAAGAGTGGCATCTACATCTGCAGAACATGAAGAACCAGTGGCATCTACATCTCCAGAACATGAAGAAGCAGTGGCATCTACATCTACAGAACATGAAGAACCAGTGGCATCTATATATGTAGAACGTAAATGACCAGTGGCATCTACATCTGCAGAACATGAAAAATGAGTGGCATCTACATCTGCAGAACATGATGAACCAGTGGCATCTACATTTGTACAACATGAAGAACCAGTGGCCTTTACATCTGCAGAACATGAAGAACCAGTAGCATCTACATCTGCAGAACGTCAAAAATCAGTGACATCTACATCTGCAGAACATGAAGAAGCAGTGGCATCTACATCTGCAGAACGTAAAGAACCAGTGGCATCTACATCTGCAGAACGTGAAGAACCAGTGGCATCTACATCTGCAGAACGTAAAGACCCAGTGGCTTCTCCATCTGCAGAACGTGAAGAACCAGTGGCATCTACATCTGCAGAACGTGAAGAACCAGTGGCATCTACGTCTACATGAGATTATACATCTTTTGAAGCCATTCACCATGTTTAGTGGACATGTCATACAACATGTTTGGAATCAACAGGAGTAAATTTGGAACAAATCGACTTACGAACAGACACACACACACCAGAATGTGTGTGTGTGTGGGGAGCGGTAGTGTAGTGGTTAGCTCGCTGTGCTACGAATCCGGCGACCCGAGTTCGGTTCCCGCTTTCCACCAACACCAGTGACGATTATCTGAACCGGTCCTAGGCCTCCCCTAGGTCGACTCAGCCTCAAATTAGTACCTTGTGCGGTGTTGAATCATCGTCACTGGGGAAACAAAGGCAGCCGGGCGTGGTGCTGGCCACCCACTCGTGTGCCGAGCCGGCCTTCACAGGTGCTACTCGCGAATAGCACTTGCCTCAACAGTCTGTTAAGGCTATACGGGGGATCTTTGCCTTTGTGTACATACTCACCTGTGTGCAGTGGCGCACCACTGCGCTACAGCACCCGGCGACCCGAGTTCGATTCCAGCTCACAGCCAAAAACAGGATCAGAACTGCTCCTCGGCGTGCCCAGGTGAGCTCAGCCTAAATACTGCCCAAGGCATGGATCGCCACTAGGTCGACTCAGCCTGAAGCGATGCCCAGGTGTCGGTCAACCACTAGGTCGACTCAGACAAAACTGATCCCCCCCAGTCACGAGCTACCAACAGGTGGACTCGGCTTTAAACACTGCTGGTGGTGCGGGTCACCACGAGGTCGACTCAGCCTGAACTGATCATCCCCCTGGTGCGGGACGCCCCTGGGTCGACTCAGCCTGAAGCGGGCACGTACCATGGTGTCGAGGCCCAGCGTGAGGAGCATGAGGAAGAAGAGGATGGCCCAGAGTGGGGAGATGGGCAGGTGGGTCAGGGCCTCTGGGTAGACCACGAAGGCCAGGCCAGGCCCTGGGGGTGCACGGTTTGATGCCATACCACACACACACGCACACAAAAAGACAAAGATCCCCCGTGTAGCCTTCAACAAGCTAATCTGGTCCGCCTATCCATTCACCCACTCACCCACCCACTCACTGACTCATTCACTCACTCACTCGCACGCTCACACATTCACTCGCTCATCCACCCATCCGCTCATCCATTCGCCCACTCACTGACGCATTCACTCACTCGCACACTCACACATTCACTCGCTCGTCCACCCATCCGCCCATTCGTTCGCCCACTCACTCACTCATTCACCCACTCGCTCGAACATCCACCCACTCACTTGCACGCTCACACATTCACTCGCACGCTCGCTCATCCGCCCATCCATTCGCCCACTCACTCACCCACTCACTGACGCATTCACTCACACATTCGCACACTCACACATTCACTCGCTCGTCCACTCGCTCACTCGCTCATCCACCCATCCGCCCATCCATTCGCCCACTCACTCACCCACTCACTGACTTATGCACCCACTCGCTCGCGCGCTCACACACTCGCTCGCCCACTCGCTCACTCGCTCATGCACCCATCCACCCATCCATTCACCCACTCACTCACCCACTCACTGGCTCATGCACCCACTCGCTCGCGCGCTCACACATTCACTCGCTCGCCCACTCGCTCATGCACCCATCCGCCTATCCATTCATCCACTCACCCACCCACTCACTGACTCATTCACCCACTCACTCGCACACTCACAGATTCACTCCCTCGCCCACTCGCTCACTCGCTCATGCACCCATCCGCCCATCCATTCACCCACTCACTCACTCACCCATTCACTGACTGATGCACCCACTCACTCACCGACTCACTGACTCATGCACCCACTCGCTCGCGCACTCGCTGAGTTTGTGTAAAGGCCCGAGGCGCCCACCTTCGTCCGCCACCTGTTGGATGTCCACCTTGAGGAGGTGCGCCATGAAGCCGATGACGGAGAAGATGACGAAGCCGGCGAAGATGCTCGTGGCGCTGTTGGTGCACGTCACGATCAGCGTGTCCCTGGCCCCGGTCGCGCGCAAGCAAAAGACAAAAAGTAATGTTTAAAAAAAAACGTTTCTAAAAACACGCTTTTATTAAATGTACCTTACTAGTAATGTAAGAACTCCACGACTCCAGGAAGTGTCCCCGAAGCTTGCCACGACGTAAGGGGACCGTGGGCAATTACAGCCAACGTGAGTTGAGCGTGGACAATGAGACCCAAGCCAAAAACATAACATATAAAAAATAATGGTTTAAAAATATATTTTTATATTTTTAATGATAGAATATAGTATTGCCATCAGTATGACGTGAGCATACCAAGTTTGTATTCGATACCACATTGGTAAGTGGGTTAAAATTGAGTTACAAGATTTTAAGGATACAACAACAGAGTGAGTTCATAAAAAGCGTGTAAAAAAGGGTCCAGTTTAACGCGAAGTAGGGAGGCTTTCGCGACCAATATCATCAGTAATAGAGGGTTTTTTTGTTGGGTTAGATCGCGTAAATATATAAACGTTGTGTCGTTAAAACCCACCACCACCCGACACAGCCAACTAGTTAAGGGGTTGTCACGTAAACAGAACGTGCCAATTCGTCACTAGTACGGCACTAGTATATAGTGTAGTGTGTAGTGTATAGTGTAGTGTATAGAAGTGTGTAGTGTAGTATATAGTGTGTAGTAGTGTATAGTGTAGTGTATAGTGTAGTGTATAGTGTAGTGTATAGTAGTGTATAGTGTAGTGTATAGTGTAGTGTATAGTAGTGTATAGTGTGTAGTGTAGTGTATAGTGTAGTGTATAGTAGTGTAAAGTGTAGTGTATAGTAGTGTAAAGTGTAGTGTATAGTAGTGTAAAGTATAGTGTAGTATATATAGTCAGTGTATAGTGTAGTGTATAGTGTAGTGTATAATAGTGTAGTGTATAGTAGTGTAAAGTATAGTGTATAGTGTAGTGTATAATAGTGTAGTATATAGTGTAGTGTATAGTGTAGTGTATAATAGTGTAGTGTATAATAGTGTAGTGTATAGTGTAGTGTACTAGTACAGCCACACCGGTTGTGTGTTGGAGAGCCAAGCCACAACAATTACAATCTGAGTAACAACGTTTCGCCAGTAATCACAACCAGCTTCATCAGGCGGACAGCCAGATGTGTGTAGAAGTTCCCCCTGTTTCGTTCCTTATACAGAGGCGTAGACGCGGTGGCCACGCTTCTGCGCTCTTGTGCAAAGTGTGGGGAGTGGGGGGTGCGATTAATGAGCTAACCTTACATTAAGCAAGCGCATTATGCGAGCCCTTTGACCCCCCCCCCCCCAGCGTATCGTAGCCCGCGCAGGCTGCTCGGAGCGGGGGGGGGGCGCCACCGCTGATGTTGAACGGCGCCGGCCGTGAGCGTGGGGATTCCAAGTCGCGTCGCCCCACGGGACTCGAGCCACAAGGGGCGTGCAGAACTCGCACAGGGTGAGTGGGTGTGTGAGTGGATGGGGAGATGAGGGTGGGTGGGAGTGTTAGTGGGTGGGTGGATGGATGGGTGAGTGGGTGGGTGGTTGAGTAGTTTGGGGGTGGGTGTGTTAGTGGGTGGGTGGAGGATGGATGGATGGGTGAGTGGGTGGGTGGGTGAGTAGTTTGGGGGTGGGTTTGCTAGTGGGTGGGTGGAGGATGGATGGGTGAGTGAGTGGGTGTGTGAGTAGTTTGGGGGTGGGTGTGTTCGTGGGTGGGTGAGCGAGCGGTTGTATGGGTGGGTGGGTGGGTGAAGGATGGATGGATGGGTGCGTGGGTGGGTGTGCTAGTGGGCGGGTGAGTGAGCGGTTGGGTGGCTGGGTGAGCGGGTGAGCTGACAGGTAAGTGGACGGATGGGTGAGTACATGGTTGACAAAGGTGAATCGATGAATGGATGAGTGGGTGAATATGGGTGAGCGAGCAGGTGAGATATCGGGTGATCGGGTGAGTGAGCGTGGTCCCACACCGGTAGACGTTGTTGTGAAACTTGTTGTAGGAGGAGAGGGTGATAAGTCCTCCCCAAGCGGCCGACAGCGAGAAGAAGATCTGAGTTGCTGCGTCCTTCCACACCTGGGGCACACGGAGACAACGTCCAACAGCTGGCGTTTGCGGTGTCTCTGTCTTTCTCTCTCTCTCTCTCTCCACGTGGTCGCGTGGATTTTTCTCCTGGTCCTCCGGTTTTCCCCTCCACGTTTCGAATCAACGTCCCACGTTCAGAGCGTTCGGCTGCAATAAAATTTCGCGTGATGATAATCCACTCAGGTTAACCGTCGTTTGTGGCCAGGTCGCTTCTAAAATAGAGCTTTATAGCTCAGCTGGCCTTACCTATGTAAAAGAATAATAGTTTAATTTTATTTCCTTATTTTGAGTGAGTTTTTTGCGTGTATTGTTGTTGCAAATTTCTGACCCGGGGGCCCCTACTGGACATCTGTTTAACAAACAAACAAAAGAGTTACATAGCTCAGCAGAGGGCCTTACTGTAACATTAAACTAATTTTCAATGGTACAGTATATTTTTTCAAGTAGTGGTACCCCAAACTTTCGTGCTTTTTTCCCTTTCACACCCCCCCCCCCCCCACGCCAACCTGCACATGTTCACATTTCATCATGCTAAGTCCGCCAATTAAATACTAATTTTTTATGCTAATTCCTTTGTCAAGGCACCTTGTTTCCTCGCACACAGCTTAAAGGTCCGCGGTCTGAGCTTGGCTGTGTTTCACTCCAGCGCTGTCCTCGAGACAGCCTGGTCCCTTCACCTGATGAAGGCCGCTTGTGTTGTGGCCGAAACGTCGTGATTTTTGTGGTTTTATTTTTTTTACCTACGTGACTTTACCGAATAGAACCAAAGAGTATGGATCCTTGCAGTCACGAAAGCTTCAAATCTAGAACCTTACTGTATTGTTTGTTGTTGTAACTTTCTGACCCGGAGGCACCGACTGGGCATCTATGAACGAGAGTTTACAGAGCTCACTGGCAAAACATTATTTTTTTTAAATAAAAAAAAACAAATTCCGTGCCACCGAAAAACGAACCTGGGGGTGTGTGGGGGTGGTTGGAGTCAAACCCTGCCTATGGGTCCCAGACAGGTGCACGATGACCCCCCTACCACCACCCCCTCGTGAGTGATTCAGCTGGGTCCCATCTGTGTTATCGTTCCGTGTGGTGGGGAGGGTAGCTCCATCCCGGGGCCTGCATGGGCTGCTGCTGCTGCTGCAGGGCGAGCGTGGAGGTGTAAAATGCCCTCTTTTATTCTGTGTTTTATCGCGTAACATTTTCCCGGATAATTGCATTTAGTGGAGCGGATGAAATGGCGGCGGTTTATGGCCGCGTTGCGAATTTAACGTGAGGTGTGTGCGCGCGCGCGTGTGCGTGTGTGTGTGCGAGTGTGTGTGCGTGCGTGTGTGTGTGTGTGCGAGTGTGTGTGTGCGAGTGTGTGTGTGTGCGAGTGTGTGTGCGTGCGTGTGTGTGTGCGTGTGTGTGTGCGAGTGTGTGTGCGTGCGTGTGTGCGTGTGTGCGAGTGTGTGTGCGTGCGTGTGTGTGTGTGCGAGTGTGTGTGTGCGAGTGTGTGTGTGCGAGCGTGTGCGAGAGTGTGTGTGTGCGTGCGTGTGTGTGTGCGAGCGTGTGTGTGCGAGTGTGTGTGTGTGTGTGCTAGTGGGGAGCGGTGGTGTAGCGGTTAGCGCGCCGCGTTACGAACCCGACAGCCCGAGTCCGATTCCCGTTCACGGCCAACACCAACAGTGACGAGTATCTGAACCGGTACTGGGCCTCCCCTAGGTTAACTCAGCCTAAAATGAGTACCTGGTGCGGTGTGTAAACATCGTCACTGGGGAGACAAAGGCGGTCGGGCGTGGTTCTGTCGTGCCGGCCTTCACAGGTGCTAACAGCACTTGCCCCAAAAGTCTCTGAAGGCTAAATCGTGGTGATTGTTGTCTTTGCAATGGGAAGTGCAGTGGGGAGCGGTAGTGCAGTGGTTAGGTCACTGCAATACAACCCCAGCAACCAGAGTTCAATTCCCACTCACGGCTAACCTCAGTGACAAATCTCTGAGCCACACTCACGTACTCACACCCACGCGCATAGTGGTGGTGATGCCGACACGGTGCATGTGCCAGGCTAGGTGCACCTTGAGGCCACGTGAAGTGTCGAAGGCTCGCTGTTGGCAGGAGGTCACGGGACAGACCATGGGTTGACTGACTGAGCTGAGTGGAAGATGCTCCGCCTGATCCCGAACTGCGTTTTAGCCACCGGGCGCTACGCTCGTTGTTGTGAGCGTCGCTCCTCCGCCCTCCGTTGTTGCTGGAGGGCGACTGCCTCCAACTGCCCAGTAGCAGCAGCGTCCTTCACGAGCCTCCTCCTCCACAGAGGCCGATCAGGACACCGCTGGTACCGGTCATCGGCATGTCCTCCCGTACCGCATCAGTACCACCTCTTCTCTAGCCCGTGTCGTGCCACTCACTCACACTCACCCTCATATGTAGTGTAATATGTAGTGTAATATATAGTGTAATATGTAGTGTAATACATATGTAGTGTAATATCTAGTGTAATATGTAGTGTAATACATATGTAGTGTAATACATATGTAGTGTAATACATATGTAGTGTAATACATATGTAGTGTAATACATATGTAGTGTAATACATATGTAGTGTAATACATATGTAGTGTAATATGTAGTGTAATACATATGTAGTGTAATATGCAGTGTAATACATATGTAGTGTAAAACATATGTAGTGTAATATGTAGTGTAATATGTAGTGTAATATGTAGTGTAATAGGTAGTATAATATGTAGTGTAATATGTAGTGTAATATCTAGTGTAATAGGTAGTGTAATATGTAGTGTAATATGTAGTGTAATACATATGTAGTGTAATATCTAGTGTAATATGTAGTGTAATACATATGTAGTGTAATACATATGTAGTGTAGTATGTAGTGTAATATGTAGTGTAATAGCGCCAGCTGGTGGACAGCAGCGGTTGCTGCGGTGGACAGACAGTGCACACGCCGGTGAGCGTGTGCACGGTGAGTATTGGCAGAGCGGAGGAACTCGGGCAAGGGTCATAGAGGACCCCATCTGGAGGCCCCTGGAACCTGCTAGAGCAGCGGTCCCAAACCTTTTTGGCACCAGGAACCGGACCGGGGGGGGGGGGTTCATCATTGGGTCTTTCCCCCTTTTCAAAGAAGCTCTCTGGCGACGTCGGTTTTTAACTCATTGTGGCTACTAGGGGGTTGGTAGCTTGTGGGCTTACCAACACCACGTGACTGAGACTGAGTGTGCAGTGCGGGGGAAAGAGGCGTGGACGGAAGTGGTAAATAATAAAATAATGGGGGCGGCTTCCACGCGTGATCGGACTTCACCGCTCTCACCTCCTCCTGCTGCTGTGCGGCCCGGTTCCTAACAGGCCACGGGACCGGTACCGGTCCCGCGGCCCGGGAGTTGGGGACCCCCTGAGCTAGAGGGTTCGAGAAGGAAGGCGCGGTCAGGGCGGAGCCAGGACCGCGCTGGGAGCATAAAAGGAGGCGAGAGCGGGGAGCTCGAGGCTGCCGGTTCTGGGAGTGGCCTCTTCGTCGCCGTCGCCGTCTGCCGTCTCTCCGCTCGATGTTGCGCTGCCGGAAGTTGTTGGCTATCTGAGTCAGCGCCGTCAGCTGTTTGACGGTTACGGTTGCGCACCAGGCTGGGCTGAGCTACAGTGGAGAGTGTGTGGACGAGACCGTGGAATTTGAAGAATAAAAGAAGGTGCCTCCTACAAACCGAATCATTGACACTACACAAAGATAAAGACCACCCCCCACTATAACTGACTGTTGGGGCAAGTGCTGTTAGTAAGCACCTATTAAGGCTGACAACACTGGAGTGGGTGCATGGCCAACGCCACACCCGGCCGCCTTTGTCTCCCCAGTGCTCATGTGTATTACACGCCACACCAGGTCCTCATTTAGGCTGAGTCGACCTAGAGGAAGCCCAAGGCTGGTTCACTTATACACTCTCACTTACACACTCCCACTCAAACACACTCTCACACAGACTCTCACCCACACACACACTCTTTCACGCTCACTCACTCACACTCATACGCTCTCACTCAAACACTCACACACTCTTACTCACACTCTCACTCACGCTCACTCACACACTCTCATTCAAACACACTCTCACACTCTCACACACACTCTCACACACTCACTCTCACTCACACACTCTCATTCAAACACACTCCAACAAACTCTCACACACTCACTCACGCTCACTCACACACTCTAATCCAAAAACACTCTAACACACTCACTCTCACTCACGCTCACTCACACACTATCATTCAAACACACTCTCACACTCTCACACACTCACTCACGCTCACTCACACATTCTCATTCAAACACACACTCACTCTCACACACTCTCACACACTCTCTCACGCTCACTCACACACTCTCATTCAAACACACTCCAACAAACTCTCACACACTCACTCACGCTCACTCACACACTCTAATCCAAACACACTCTAACACACTCACTCTCACTCACGCTCACTCACACACTATCATTCAAACACACTCTCACACTCTCACACACTCACTCACGCTCACTCACACATTCTCATTCAAACACACTCTCACACTCACTCTCACACACTCTCACACACTCTCACACACTCTCTCACGCTCACTCACACACTCTCATTCAAACACACTCTCACACTCTCACTCACGCTCACTCACACACTCTAACACACTCACTCACACACTCCAACACACGCTCACACACTCTCACACACTCACTCTCACTCACACACTCTCACACACGCTCACTCACACACTCTCACACACTCACTCACGCTCACTCGCACACTCACTCTCACACACTCTCACACTCTCACACACTCACTCTCACACTCTCACTCTCACACACTCTCACTCTCACACACTCTCACACACTCACATCTCACACACACACTCACACACTCTCACACTCTCACACACGCTCACACACTCACTCTCACACTCTCACTCACACACTCTCACACACTCTCACACTCTCACTCACACACTCTCACATACTCTCACACACTCACTCACGCTCACTCACACACTCTCATTCAAACACACTCACTCACTCTCACACACACTCTCACACTCTCACACTCTCACACTCTCACTCTCACACTCTCACACTCTCACACTCACTCACTCACTCTCACACTCTCTCACACACTCTCACACTCTCACACTCACTCTCACACACACTCACACACTCTCACACTCTCACACTCTCACACTCACTCACTCTCATACTCTCACACACTCACACACTCTCACACACTCACACACTCTCACACTCACTCACTCTCACACACACTCTCACACTCTCACACACTCACACTCTCACACTCTCACACACACTCTCACACTCTCACACTCTCACACACACTCTCACACTCTCACACACACTCACTCTCACACTCTCACACTCTCACACTCTCACACTCACTCACTCTCACACTCTCACACTCTCACACTCTCTCACACACACTCTCACACTCTCACACACACTCTCACACTCTCACACACTCACTCTCACACTCTCACACACTCTCACACTCTCACACTCTCACTCTCACACTCTCACACACTCTCACACTCTCACTCTCACTCACACACTCACACACTCTCACACTCTCACACTCTCACTCTCACACTCTCACACACTCTCACACTCTCACACACTCTCACACTCTCACTCTCACTCTCACACTCTCACACTCTCACTCTCACACTCTCACACACTCTCACACTCTCACTCTCACACTCTCACTCACACACTCACACACTCTCACACTCTCACACTCTCACTCTCACACTCTCACACACACTCTCACACTCTCACACACACTCTCACACTCTCACACACTCTCACACTCTCACACACACTCACACACTCTCACACTCTCACACACACTCTCACACTCTCACACTCTCTCACACACTCTCACACTCTCACACACACTCTCACACTCTCACACACACTCTCACTCTCACACTCTCACACACACTCTCACGCTCTCACACTCTCACACTCTCAGCTCGCACGCCCTCAACTGACCGTGGCCTCGAAGAGCTTCTCCCATTTGGGCTTGATGAAGTAGAGGATTCCGTCGAATGCCCCGGGCAGGGTGACCCCTCTCACCAGCAGAATCACGAGCACCACGTACGGGAACGTGGCCGTAAAGTACACCACCTGTAGCCACCACCCAAAGGCAAAGATCCCCCGTGTAGGCTTCACAACACTTGCCATTAACCCTCTAACGCAACCCAATCGCTCGCTCGCCGTTCACTTCGCTCGCTCGTGTCAGAGCAGAGAACGACGCCTAAAGGTGAACAAGCAGCAGGGTGACTGGGTAGCTGGGTAGCTGGGTGGCTGGGTAGCTGGGTGGCTGGGTAGCTGGGTGGCTGGGTAGCTGGGTAGCTGGTGCTAGGTAGCTGGGTGACTGGGTAGCTGGGTGGCTGAGTAGCTGGGTAGCTGGGTGGCTGGGTGTCTGAGTAGCTGGGTGGCTGGGTAGCTGGGTGGCTGGTGCTGGGTAGCTGGGTGGCTGGGTAGCTGGGTGGCTGGTGCTGGGTAGCTGGGTGGCTGGGTAGCTGGGTGGCTGGGTAGCTGGGTGGTTGGGTGACTGGGTAGCTGGGTGGCTGGTGCTGGATAGCTGGGTGGCTGGGTAGCTGGGTGGCTGGTGCTGGGTGGCTGGGTAGCTGGGTGGCTGGGTGGTGAGTGGCTGGGTGGTTGGTTGGTGCTGGATAGCTGGGTGGCTGGGTAGCGGGTGCTGAGTGGCTGGGTGGTTGGGTGGTTGGGTAGCTGCGTAGTTGGGTGGCTGGGTGGTTAGGTAGCTGGGTGGCTGGTACTGGGTAGCTGGGTGGCTGGGTAGCTGGGTGGCTGGTGCTGGGTGGCTGGTTAGCTGGGTAACTGGGTGGTTGGGTAGCTGGGTGGCTGGTGCTGGATAGCTGGGTGGCTGGGTAGCGGGTGCTGAGTGGCTGGGTGGTTGGGTGGTTGGGTAGCTGGGTAGTTGGGTGGTTGGGTGGTTAGGTAGCTGGGTGGCTGGTACTGGATAGCTGGGTGGCTGGATAGCTGGGCTGCTGGGTATCTGTGTGGTGGGGTAGCTAGGTGACTGGGTAGCTGGGTGGTGGGGTAGCTGAGTGCTGAGTAGCTGTGTGCTGTGTTGCTGGGTAGCTACTAGCTGGGTGGCTGGGTGGCTGGGTGGCTGGGTAGCTGGGTAGCTGGGTGGCTGGGTAGCTGGGTAGCTGGGTGGCTGGGTAGCTGTGTATCTGGGTAACTGGGTAGCTGGGTGGCTGGGTAGCTGGGTGGTGAGTGCTGGATAGCTGGGTGGCTGGGTAGCTGGGTAGCAGGTGCTGGGTGGCTGGGTAACTGGGTGGCTGGGTAGCTGGGTGGCTCGATAGCTGGGTGGCTGGGTGGCTGGGTAGCTACTAGCTGGGTAGCTGGGTGGCTGGGTGGCTGGGTAACTGGGTAGCTGGGTAACTGGGTAGCTGGGTAGCTGGGTAACTGGGTGGCTGGGTAGCTGGGTAACTGGGTAGCTGGGTATCTGGGTAACTTGCTAAATGGGTAGCTGGGTAGCTGGGTAGCTGGGTGGCTGGGTAGCTGGGTAACTAGGTAGCTGGGTATCTGGGTAGCTGGGTAGCTGGGTGGCTGGGTAGCTGGGTAACTGGGTGGCTGGGTAGCTGAGTAACTGGGTAGCTGGGTATCTGGGTAGCTGGGTAACTGGGTAGCTGGGTAGCTGGGTAGCTGGGTGGCTGGGTAGCTGGGTAACTGGGTAACTGGGTATCTGGGTAGCTGGGTAACTGGGTAGCTGGGTAGCTGGGTAGCTGGGTGGCTGGGTGGCTGGGTAGCTGGGTGGCTGGGTAGCTGGGTAACTGGGTAGCTGGGTAGCTGGGTATCTGGGTAGCTGGGTAACTGGGTAGCTGGGTAGCTGGGTAGCTGGGTGGCTGGGTAGCTGGGTAACTGGGTAACTGGGTATCTGGGTAGCTGGGTAACTGGGTAACTGGGTAGCTGGGTAGCTGGGTGGCTGGGTGGCTGGGTAACTGGGTATCTGGGTACCTGGGTAACTGGGTAGCTGGGTAGCTGGGTAGCTGGGTGGCTGGGTAGCTGGGTGGCTGGGTGGCTGGGTAGCTGGGTGGCTGGGTAGCTGGGTAACTGGGTTACTGGGTATCTGGGTAGCTGGGTAACTGGGTAGCTGGGTAGCTGGGTAGCTGGGTGGCTGGGTAACTGGGTAACTGGGTATCTGGGTAGTTGGGTAGCTGGGTAGCTGTGTATCTGGGTAGCTGGGTATCTGGGTAGCTGGGTAACTGGGTAACTGGGTATCTGGGTAGCTGGGTAGCTGGGTAGCTGTGTATCTGGGTAACTGGGTATCTGGGTAGCTGGGTAACTGGGTAACTGGGTAGCTGGGTAGCTGGGTGGCTGGGTGGCTGGGTGACTGGGTAACTGGGTATCTGGGTAGCTGGGTAGCTGGGTAGCTGTGTATCTGTGTAGCTGGGTAGCTGGGTAACTGGGTATCTGGGTATTTGGGTAGCTGGGTAGCTGTGTATCTGGGTAACTGGGTATCTGGGTGGCTAGGTAACTGGGTAGCTGGGTGGCTTGGTATCTGGGTGGCTGGGTAACTGTGTATCTGGGTAACTGTGTATCTGGGTAGCTGGGTATCTGGGTAACTGGGTAGCTGGGTATCTGTGTATCTGGGTAACTGGGTAGCTGGGTAGCTGGGTGGCTGGGTAGCTGGGTAGCTGGGTAGCTGGGTAACTGGGTAGCTGTGTATCTGGGTAACTGGGTAGCTGGGTGGCTGGGTATCTAGGTATCTGGGTAGCTGGGTAACTGGGTAGCTGGGTAGCTGGGTAGCTGGGAAACTGGGTAGCTGGGTAACTGGGTAGCTGGGTAGCTGGGTGGCTGGGTGGCTGGGTGGCTGGGTAGTTGGGTGGCTTGGTGGCTGGGTGGCTGGGTAGCTGGGTGGTGAGTGCTGGGTAGCTGGGTAGCTGGGTAGCTGTGTATCTAGGTTGCTGGGTAGCTGGGTAGCTGGGTAGCTGGGTATCTGGGTGGCTGGGTAGCTGGGTAGCTGGGTGGCTGGGTATCTGGGTGGCTGGGTAGCTGGGTGGCTGGGTATCTGGGTGGCTGGGTAGCTGGGTAGCTGGGTGGCTGGGTAGCTGGGTAGCTGGGTGGCTGGGTGGCTGGGTGGCTGGGTAGCTGGGTAGCTGGGTAGCTGGGTAGCTGGGTGGCTTGGTATCTGGGTGGCTGGGTAACTGTGTATCTGGGTAACTGTGTATCTGGGTAGCTGGGTATCTGGGTAACTGGGTAGCTGGGTATCTGTGTATCTGGGTAACTGGGTAGCTGGGTAGCTGGGTGGCTGGGTAGCTGGGTAGCTGGGTAGCTGGGTAACTGGGTAGCTGTGTATCTGGGTAACTGGGTAGCTGGGTGGCTGGGTATCTAGGTATCTGGGTAGCTGGGTAACTGGGTAGCTGGGTAGCTGGGTAGCTGGGAAACTGGGTAGCTGGGTAACTGGGTAGCTGTGTATCTGGGTAACTGGGTAGCTGGGTGGCTGGGTATCTAGGTATCTGGGTAGCTGGGTAACTGGGTAGCTGGGTAGCTGGGTAGCTGGGAAACTGGGTAGCTGGGTATCTGGGTAGCTGGGTAGCTGGGTGGCTGGGTGGCTGGGTGGCTGGGTCGTTGGGTGGCTTGGTGGCTGGGTGGCTGGGTAGCTGGGTGGTGAGTGCTGGGTAGCTGGGTAGCTGGGTAGCTGTGTATCTAGGTTGCTGGGTAGCTGGGTAGCTGGGTAGCTGGGTATCTGGGTGGCTGGGTAGCTGGGTAGCTGGGTGGCTGGGTATCTGGGTGGCTGGGTAGCTGGGTGGCTGGGTATCTGGGTGGCTGGGTAGCTGGGTAGCTGGGTGGCTGGGTAGCTGGGTAGCTGGGTGGCTGGGTGGCTGGGTGGCTGGGTAGCTGGGTAGCTGGGTAGCTGGGTAGCTGGGTAGCTGGGTAGCTGGGTGGCTGGGTAGCTGGGTAACTGGGTATCTGGGTAGCTGGGTAGCTGGGTGGCTGGATAGCTGGGTAGCTGGGTAGCTGGGTAGCTGGGTGGCTGGGTATCTAGGTGGCTGGGTAGCTGGGTAGCTGGGTGGCTGGGTATCTAGGTGGCTGGGTAGCTGGGTGGCGCACCTTGCCCGAGGTCTTGATGCCGCGCACCAGGCAGAGGTAGACGATGATCCAGGCGAGCAGCAGGCACAGCGCTAGGTGCCAGCGAATCTCGCCCGGACGGTCGATGCCCTCCGAGATCTTCAGCACAAAGAACCTGGCGCAGGGGGTTGGGGGGGGAGATGGAGGGGGGTGGGGGGGAAGGAGACCGGGGGTGTTGGAGACGGGACTGCATGGTCACGCATCCTGAATCTCGCAGGAGCCTCGTGAAAACGAGTGTTGAGACTCGGTGAGGCTCAAGACTCGCGCGAGCGAGCAAGTGAGCGAGCGCGCGAGCGGGTGGGTGAGCGGGCGCGTGGGTGGGTGAGCAAGCACGTGAGCGAGCGCGTGGGTGGGTGAGCGAGCACGTGGGTGAGCGAGCACGTGAGCGAGTGTGCGGGTGAGTAAGCGAGCGCGTGGGTGAGCGAGGGAGCTGGCACGGAGGGGGCCTCTCACTTGAAGTACTCCTCGCTGCCGCTGACGCTCTCCGGCCGCGTGCGGTTGGCGAGCGACACGTTGCCGAACAGGCGCTCGCACACCGAGCTGTTGAGGGGCCTACCGGTGAGGTTCAGGATGCCGAGACACGCGTCTGTGAGACACGGGGGGGGGGGGCGGGGGGGGGAACGGGCGGGGAGATACGGGGGGGACACGTCACGTGGGGATGACATGGGAGAGACACAGTGGGGACGCGTGGAGAGACATGGGGGGGGGACACATGGGGAAGACACAAGAGAGACACGGTAGGGACGCGTGGGGAGACACGGGGGGGACACGTGGGGAGACACAGGGGAGATGCACGGGAGAGACACGGTAGGGACGCGTGGGGAGACACGGGGGAGATGCACGGGAGAGACACGGTAGGGACGCGTGGGGAGACACAGGGGTGACACGCGGGGAGACACGGGGGAGATGCAGGGGAGAGACACGGTAGGGACGCGTGGGGAGACACGGGGTGGGGGGGGGGACGTGTCGGGGAGAAACGGGGCAGCATAAAGAGACATTATGAAACACAGGGAGACACGGAGAAGATTTCAGAGACACGTGGGGAGAAGGCACGGGTAGACGCAGGTGCAGCCCTTTGATCGCTTGTCCCAAACACCGCCGGTAGCGGGGCCTCGGACGGAGCAGCTCCGGTGGGAAACCTGCGAGTGACCGACTCTCGGACAGCCCCGCTAATCTTCATTATCTCAACCGCCGTCATCTTACGTGCAATTTGTATAATTGTTGTAAAGCGCCTTGGATTCAGGCGCTGTCATATGAATGTCTACGAGATAGGAGGCTGTTCAAATTTTTGGCGTCGTTCTCGGGTCTGGCACTGGTGCTGAGACTAGGCTGCTATCTCTGGTTTAGGCCAATCAGTTTCAAAGACAATGCCCAATATATTATAACATATGCGTTGTCTTTGAAACCCCATGGAGAAGGCAATCCTTCTCCGTGGGGTACTGGGCGTACAGCTGATGGAATGTTTGGATAATGCACAGTCCACTTTCCCAACTGGAGGCGCCATGCAGAGGTAAGAATCGCCGATGTGATCCGTTGGCTCTCTCCAAATCATTGGCACTGCAAAAGGCATCGATGTCTTTCTCCTGTTCAACCACTGCCGAAGATTTGTCGCAACAAGTGTTGCAGCATATGTGTGGTGCCCACATCTTGTCCTGACCTCCAATTTTTGCAGCCAAAATAAAGGTGGTAGGCTTTCTTGACCATAGCGGTTATACTGCGCTTTTGCGATGCAAAAGTCACTTCACCAAAAACTTCGCAGAAGTTATCTGCTTTGTTCACACGAGTACGAGGCATCTCTGCTCACATTGACAACACTGACAAATAAGAGAGCACGACACTGTATGATTTCGAGAGCTGATATAGGGCAATTTGTTCAGCAGATGGATGTAAGCCTAGTTATGATTGCATCATCAATGGTTTCTAGGAATAACATGATGCAAATCACATAATGTATGACGCAATACCAGGTTCAGATTGCATCATTCATTGCTTTGCTCAAAAAGCAAGTACTGTCCAAACACAGTCATAGATTTAATCATAGGTCCAGTCAAAGATGTATTTGAGTAATTTCTGGTTTAAATTGAGATCCCTTCCCTTTACAACTCACTTCTCCTCCGCCATTCCCAAGTCAAGGCTCGTATATACTGACGAAGGAGCATATCTTGAAAACTAGAGCCAATCAACAATTTTAAAAATCATTTTCATTCTCAGTGACCCAAAATTAGTAAAGTTGGACTATACTTATTTAGGAAGCATTTTGGCTGTAGACCGGTGTTATCAGAGCTCTGTTTGCTTGCATGTTCACCACAAGTACCGTGTGTGTGGTTAATGCAGTAACATTTATCTACTTGGTGTTTGAACATCTTAACACCTCCCGTTTGATTGATTGCCAGACAGGGTCAAACCTATTCTTATCCTTGGTCGTGTACGAAGACCCCAGCTGCCTCCACAGCGATGGGGCACGACCGTCGTCACGCGCCCATCCTCTCGTGCCGAGTGCCCGGAAGCGCGAGGCACAGCGGGCCACGTGTTTGCGCGTGCGAGGGGACATGCTCTATCCCCGTACTACCACGGGGCCTATCTGCCCACGGATCGTGATGACGATCCACCAAACCTCCCCCCCCCCGCCACCCCCTACGCTATCCTCCGCAAGCGAGGGGCGAGGGGCTGCCCGTCACGTGCTTTGACGAGGCGCTGCCACCCACCCATCTGCTCGTGCCGGGGCCCGCGACAGTTGGGGGTGTTCCACTCATTGGTGCAGGAGCCCCAGGGCAGCGCCGAGGTGAAGGACGCGAAGAGGTAGAAGAGGGTGTAGCAAATGATGATGTTGTAGTAGATGGCGATCAGTACCGAGATGATCAGCATGGCGATGCCGCAGCCTGCGGGCAGAGACAGCACCGCGTCTCATCCTGTCTCCCCGTCTCTTCCTCACATCTCCTCCTATCTCCCCACGTCTCTTCCCCACGTCTCCTATCTCCCCACGTCTCCCCGTGTGTACTATCTCCCCGTATCTCCTATCTCCCTGAGTCTCCCCACATCTCGTACTATCGCTCTGCGTTTCCCCGTGTCTCCCCGTGTCTCCTCCACATCTCCCCGTGTCTCCTCCACTTCTCCTGTGACGAATCCTCCTGTCTCCTTGTGTCTCCCCGAGTCTCCTATCTCTCTGCGTCCCCTCCTGTCTCCCCGTGTCTCCTCCACGTCTCCTTCACGTCTCCTTCGGTCTCCTTGTGTCTCCCAGGGTCTCCCCACATGTCCTCCTGTCTCCACGAGTCGTCCCGTGTCGCCTCCGCCTGTCTCCGCCGTGTCCCCACATCTCCTCCTATCGCTCAGCGTCTCCCCGTGCCCCCTCCCCATCCCCGGCGCGATGTCTCACCCTGCAGGGCTGGAATCGCCTTCCACACGGACACTGGGCCCTGGCTGGCGAACTGGCCGATGGCGACCTCCAGGAAGAAGATGGGCACCCCGGCCAGCGCGAGCATGAGCAGGTACGGGATGAGGAACGCACCTGAAGGACGCACGTGGGGGGGAAGTGGGGGGGGGGGGGGGGATACACACGGGAATGGGAGGGGGGTGTACTCACGTTCAGGTTCAGATTAAGGAGCTCGTGGGTTCTATCCCGAAGCCCTGAAAGTTCAACATACAGCCAGGAACAGAAAATTACGCCAAACCCCGTTGCCGTGCCAGCTTTGCCACCATCTCCACCGGCACCACCACCACAACCACTACCCTGACCACGACTGCCACCACCACCACCAGCTCCAATACCGCCACCACAGGTTTCCGGATGTACAGGTGAGTGTGTCGATGTACTGGTGAGCACGTGCGCAGGTGAGCACACGTGCAGGTCAGCTCTTGTACAGGTGAGCGTGTATGCAGGTGAGCTTGCATACAGGTGAGCTTGCATACAGGTGAGCTTGCATACAGTTGAGTGCACATGCAGGTGAGCTCTTGTACAGGTGAGCGCGCTTACAGATGAGCTTGCGTACGGACGAGCGCGTGTGTAGGTGAGCGCGTATGCAGGTGAGCTCTTGTACAGGTGAGCGCGCTTACAGGTGAGCTTGCGTACGGACGAGCACGTCTGCAGGTGACCGCTCTTGCTGATGAGCGCACATGCAGGTGAGCTCTTGTACGCGTGAGCGCGCGAGAGCGTGCGTTCACGTGCGCGTGAGCTCACCGCCCCCGTTGCGGAAGGCCAGGTAGGGGAAGCGCCAGACGTTCCCAAGCCCCACAGCGTAGCCCACCATGGAGAGGATGAAGTCTAGCTTGCTGGACCAGTTCCCACGTGCCTGGTTCTCATCACCCACGTCGCTCTGTTGGGGGGGGGGGAGGGGGGGGGGGGCAGCGATGAGGGGGGGCACGGGGGGGGGCGAGAGTCGGGGGTGGGGGGGAGGTACGGGAGACATCGGTCGTGACGGAGCTGTCTCAACTAAAACAAGCTAAAAATTAAAAAAAATTTGTTTAATGTTACCAGGTAAGGCCCCACTGAGCTGCTTCTGTAGCTCTTTTTCAAAAGCGACGTGGCCGTCACGAATGATAGCTCAACGGAGTAACGTCTTATCGTCATCGTGTGGAAATTTTGTGGCAGCAGCCAAACGCTCGGAACGCGTGACGTTGAATCCAAATCTGGAGGGGGAAAACCGGAGGATCCGGAGTAAAATCCACGCGACCACGGAGAGAGAGAGAGAGAGGAACATGCAAACTAAAAATGTACAATCTAGATTGGAAGCTTTCGTGACTGCAGGAATCCATACTCTCTGGTTCTTTCGGTAATCCAAATATACGGCAGGCGTCAGGGTTGGGATCGAACCCACGATGTTCTATATACCAGGCCAGGTAGTTAACACCTCCCGGCCACCGTGGCGTGCGTGTCGAGTGTACGGCCGGCGCAAGCCGTACTCGGCCCTGCCAGCTGGATGGGCACGTGGGGCCCAAATGAAGATGGGACCAGGGGGGGCATGGGGGGGTGCAGTGACCCCCCCCCCCCCACCATTTAAATCCTTGCACTAGGCCCCACACCAACCATGCACGCTATCGCATCGCCACGGTGGACTCGCACTCAGAGTCCGGTGGGTGAAATATTCCCAACAGGTAAACCTGGGCGGCTAACTCAACTGACGTAGATTCTTTGGACATATTCCCACCACCCCCCCCCCCCCCCTGCCACCCCCATTTTCTATGTATGTTGAACTTCCTTTACACCGTACGTAGCCAACCATGGCTCATCGGAGGTGCGCGGGAAGGACAACAAGCCAAACACAAAAAGTAATTCTCAAGAAATAAGTTTTCAATCTGGATGATTTCAAAGTGCGTAGCTCCCTGTGGCTTCCCAATACCGGGAAGGAAGAGCGTTCCACACGGCCCCGGAAGCGCATCTGAGAGCGTGCTCTTGCTAAAATAAGATACAAATACAATAAATAAATACACTAAACCCTCACCATTTTGCGGTTCATAAGCCCGGAGAGGACGGTGACGCTGCCCCGCGCCCCCATCATCACCGTGCTCCCAGCCTCGTGCCTCCAGCTCTCCCTGCGGCCCGATGAAGGCTCCTTCCAGGAAATGATGCTGCCCTTCTTCTTGCGCCGAGACGACGCCTTCCAGGAGGATGAGGCGGCGGCGCTGCCGGCGGAGGCGGTGGCCGTAGCAGCACCGTCACCGGGCCTGCCCTCCCCGGCACAGACGCCCGGCTGCTGGTTCTGCACGGGGGGGTCGGCAAAATTCACCGGGCGCGACATGGCGGAGGGAAGTTGCGTCGTGGCCGGGCTGCAGTTGAGCTCCCGTTTGGCACGGCCCGGTTCACAGGACGTGGGGTCGAAGCTTGCGGCGCCGGTGGCGGTCGCGGTGGCGCCGGCGGTGGCGGTGGCGGTCGCGGCGGCGGCGGTGCTGTTAGGCCAGGATAATGGCGGGTCGGTCTCGCCTTGCGGGGCTGCCTGGCTCGGTGCACCAGGGTAGGCAGGAGGGTCAGGCTCCGCGGCGTGGGAGTGGGACTGGGAAGCCTCGGTCATGGCTGCAAGCGGCGGCGTTTGGCTTTCGTGTTGCGCTGCTGGTGATGGGCCGTCTGGGTTCGTGATGGGATCCTGGTGGGAGGGATAAGTCACATCCATCATCGTAATCATCCCCATCATCATCCCCATCATCATTATAAGCGCCATCATTATTTCCCCATCTTGAAAGTGCGAATGTAAAACAAAGCTGCGAATGAGACAGAGAACGTGAACACTTTTTTTTAAAGTTGCGCCCTTCATCAAATCCGCCAATAGATGAAGGAGGCCCCCACCACACAGTGTGGGTCATGAAGGGTGCACAACCCAGTAACCGTTGGCCCAACGTTGTACGTACGTATGTATGTTCAACTTCGATTCGCACCGTAACGTAGCCAGCCGTGGTAATTTATGGGTATCTGTGGGTGTCTATGGGTATCTTTGTGGGTCTCTGTGTATGTACGTATGTATGTACGTTGAACTTCTTTCGCACTGTACGGAACCAACCGTGCTAATCTATGGGTCTCTGTGGATGTCTATAGGTATCTTTGTGGGTCACTGTGTATGTACGTTTGCCAAGTTAAGCGCGAAAACCAAATTTTACGTGGTGGGCCTCTGTGTGAGTCTATCGGTCTCTATGTGAGTCTATGGGTCTCTGTGCGCGTCTATGGGTCCTTGTGCAAGTCTGCAAGTCTGTGGGTCTCTTTGTAGGCCGATGAGTCTCGATGTGAATCTATTGGTCTCTGTGTAAGGCTCTGCGTCTTTGTGTGAATATACGGGTCTGTATGTGAAATTATGGATAATTATGTGAGTCTATGGGCCTCAAAGTCTGGTTCTCTGCGTGAGTCTATGGGTCTCTATGTCAGTCTATGGCTCTGTGTGTCAGTTTATGGGTCTCTATTTGAGTGTATTTGTCTCTGTGTGAGTCTATCGGTCTCAGGAGGGAAGGGGGTGCAGGGTAAGGGGAGCGAGGTGGTGGGGGGAGGTGGGAGGGGTGGGGGTGCAGGAGGGGAGGGGTGTGGGTGCAGCAGGGGAGGGGAATCGAGAGGGGAGGGGGAGCGCGTGGACCCGATGGGTTTCCTGCGCAGTCGTGGGTGACAGCGACGAGGCCATTTTAAATGCAAATGCCGCGTGACATTTTCGAAAAGTCATCTCTTAAGTAGAACCCAGCACGCTAATTCTGGCTCTGCAGAAACAAGGCTCATTAGCGAATTGACAATGACGACGATGATGACGGCAGCGGCGGCGACGATGCCGACGACGAATCGCACAAACGAACGACGAGATTGGGCCGCCATGCGGCGGGGTGCTCGACGTCGCGAGACTCTTGAGAGACGGGTGACAGCTGGGTAGGGAGGCTTTCATCCAGCAGTGGATAGATCACAGCCGACGATGTATTGATGATGATGATAATGTACGACTGTGCGCAGTCACTGGTGACCCATTCGCTCGCCACACTTGAGAAGCTGGCTTAGTTACAACTCGCGGCATGCGAAAGTCATGGGTTTCTCTTTGAAGGTCTTTGGGTCTACTATCCATTTCTGGCTTTGCAGAAATAAGGGTCATTAGCTAATTGATAATGATGATGACGACGATGAATCGCACGAACGAACGATGAGTTTGGCTGCTGTGTAGGGGCGCCTTGACATTGCGAGGCTCTCACAGCTGGGTACGGAGGCTTTCATTGAGCAGTGGATAGATCACAGGCGACGATGTGTGCATCGATGATGATGATATGACGGTGCGGAGTTTCTGGTGACCCATTCGCTCGCCACACTTGAGATGCTGGTTTAGTTACAACTCGCGGGATTTGAACGTCATGGGTGTCTGTGTGTGTGTCTTGGAGTACACTATCCACCATTTCACTCCTCCTATCCCCTGAGTTGACCCCAGAGTGGGATTTGAACTCGTGACCTCTATGATTGCGAGTCAGGTGCTTCGGACACTGCGCGCCATGTGGCATGCTGCTCCTGCTGATGACGACATGATAGTGCAGCCGGTGTTAGCTCACCTGTGATCAATCACACGTGGATAATTGTGCACTCTTTAGCATTTGCATGCCTTTCAGTAAAGTAACGTAGAATGAGAATAAAATAATAAAATAACACAATAAAATTCTCACGACGTTTCGGCCACAACGCAAGCGGCCGTCTTCAGGTGAAAGGTACAGAACTGTCGGGACGACAGAGCTTCAAATTGCAGAAAAATGTAATTGAAGCTCTGTCGTCCCGACAGTTCTATACCTTTCACCTGAAGACGGCCGCTTGCGTTGTGGCCGAAACGTCGTGAGAATTTTATTGTGTTATTTTATTATTTTATTCTCATTCTACGTGACTTTACCGAAAGAACCAAAGAATATGCATGCCTGTCAACCCATACGGTTTACCCATATTTTTGTACAGGGAAATTGAGTTTTCATGTCCATACGGTGTACAGACGTTTCAATACGAGTAATATATATTTGTTTATTTGTTTGTGTTTCTCCCTTCGTAGGATGAACGTTGAGATTTATAAGGGCACGGGGTGACCAATAAGGTCGGAAATGGTCTGTAATAAAGTGGCCACTGGATAAGGAGTTGACAGGTGTGTAAGCAGAGGAATTCAGCCACGGTGTTGTAATACGGAGGGTATCTCTGATCGCTAGGTACGGGACGTTCACTTCTTTTTGTGAGTTAAATTATATTGCTTGCCGTTTTTTTTGCGCGGTAAATCTAATAGTAATAAGATGGCGTCGCGCCCTAGCGGTGAGTTATTTAATTTATTATCACGAGCGTTAATTAACTCCGTTTGTTTTGATCAATGCGACTCGAATCATAAGATATGACGGAGCTGGAAGGTGATTTAGAGTGTTTGGGTAATTAAAATATAAGTTGTTATTTGGTAATAGTTTGTAACATTTTGGTATTATTGTGCTGCGTTGCCCTCTTTATGGGGAAGGCACAAAATGGCTGACTTAGAGCTTAATTTTAACAGTTCGCTATATCACTGGAACTTTTTGTTAGTATCAAAGTATAAAAAAATGACAGTAGGTTTTACTCCTTTCAGGCAATAAAAAACCTTTCTGCAAGAAATCAAGTTTACTGCATTAACCACACACAATAATAATCTATGGGGCATTGTTTTTTTAAACGATTTGGCCTATGCCAGAGACAGCAGCAGCCTTCTTTACGGGTCCAGTCTCACCACCAGTGTCAGACCAGAGCGCAACACCAAAAGGCGACCAGTACGAAGACAATGCCACTATCAGAGAGCATTTTTAGCTCGGGGTGAGTTGCTATACCATATAAACATTTTAACCAGTGTCAAAGGATGAAAAATAAGAATGGGTTTTACCCCTTTATGGCAAATAAAACAAGAGTTGTGTTAAGATGTTCAAACACCCAAATAGGTTAAACCTTTTGCAAGGAATCAAGTTTACTGCATTAACTATAAATACTTTCGGTGAACATGCAAACAAACAGGGCTCTGATAATAACATATCGGGCATTGTCTTTAAAACTGATTTGTCTATACCAGAGACAGCAGCCTTCTTTACGGTCTAGTCTCACCACCAGTGTCAAACCGGAGAATGCCAAAATGCGAACAGTACAAAGGCAATGCCACTATCGGAGCATTTATGACGCCTGTTGGCGTGGTAGTGAGACTAGGCCATTAAAAAAGGCTGTCTCTGGTGCAGACCAATCAGTTACAAAGACAATGCCCATATGTTATCAGAGCCATGATTTGATTGCACGTTCACCGCAAGTACTGCGTGTGGTTAATGCAGTAAATTTGATTCCTTGCAAAAAAAAAGGTTTCTGTTTGGTGTTTGAACATCTTAACACAAGTCGTGTGTCATTGCCTGAAAGTGTAAAACCCATATTATAAATGTGTATACGTTAAGCTAATGCTGTGAGCGGTCCAGGTGTTCTTGCAGAAGTAACTTTCCCGATTTGAGTATAAGAAATAATAATTGTTTTTTATGTTTATTGTCAGTGACATTAGTTATCTAATTTACATATTGTTAATATTATTCTTGTGTAAAAATGTGATGTATTATTAGTTGAGTAAGTACGTATTCTCATTTATTTAGTATTAGCAGGGGGTTGTGGGAGGTGCTACAGACGTTCTGGGAAGATGTTAGACGTTAGATGTTGAAATGTTTCTTGTTACATTTTCGTTACATAATATGTATGTTAAATGTTGTTAAATATGATACGCAGCGGTTATCATGATTGAGATGTTGGGCTCTCTTCTGGACCGGGGAATTCAGCTTCGGTGTTGTGATGTAGATGGTTGTCTCTGATCGCTATTGTGACGTAGAGGGTTGTCTCTGATCGCTATTGTGATGTAGAGGGTTGTCTCTGATCGCTATTGTGACGTAGAGGGTTGTCTCTGTTCGCTATTGTGACGTAGAGGGTTGTCTCTGTTCGCTATTGTGACGTAGATGGTTGTATCTGATCGCTATCGTGACGTAGAGGGATGTCTCTGTTCGCTATTGTGACGTAGAGGGTTGTCTCTGATCACTATTGTGACGTAGATGTTGTCTCTGATCGCTATTGTGACGTAGATGGTTGCATCTGATCGCTATTGTGACGTAGATGTTTTCCTATGATCGCTGTTGTGACGTAGATGGTTGTATCTGATCGCTATTGTGACGTAGAGGGTTGTCTCTGATCGTTATTGTGACGTAGATGGTTGTCTCTGATCGCTATTGTGACGCAGAGGGTTGTCTCTGATCGCTATTGTGACGTAGAGGGTTGTCTCTGATCGCTATTGTGACGTAGATGTTGTCTCTGATCGCTATTGTGACGTAGAGGGTTGTCTCTGATCGCTGTTGTGACGTAGAGGGTTGTCTCTGATCGTTATTGTGACGTAGATGGTTGTCTCTGATCACTATCGTGATGTAGAGGGCTGTCTCTGATCGCTATTGTGACGAAGAGGGTTGTCTCTGATCGCTATTGTGACGTAGAGGGTTGTATCTGATCGTTATTGTGACGTAGAGGGTTGTATCTGATCGCTATTGTGACGTAGAGGGTTATCTCTGATCGCTATTGTGACGTAGAGGGTTGTCTCTGATCGTTATTGTGACGTAGATGGTTGTCTCTGATCGCTAT